GGGCGCCCGCCGCCTCACCCTGCCGGGCGCCCGTTTTCCACCGCGGGCATCGATGGCCACTTGTTGATCGGGAAGATCGTTTGCGTGTTTCTTCGGACTGCCTGGGAAAAAGTACATTGAAATTACCGTCCTGGTGGGCTTTAGCCTGAGACAACGCTTTATCTCATATTTACAGGTATTAGAAATGTAACACGTTCATTTACTATCCACACAATAGCTTTCACATAGCCGTAACTGTACAGTTCAGTTTTTTTGTTAGTGTGGGGGTTTTTTTCCCCCAAGCCCAAGTTGCAGGGACGCGTAGGTTTTGGGGCACTTCAGAATCATTTTAAACAAGCTTGCCATGAAAGGCTGGAGCAGGAACTTCTGTCTTTGCTGAGCTCTCTTGGCGCAACCAATCCGGGCGACGGGGAGCACTGGAAAATGTTCTGCTGACTGCCACGTCCTCCTGCGCCGCAGCTCCGAGAACCTGCCATGTCCCCCAACCAAATACAAATGACTAAAATATCCTCTTTTCTTATATGTCAAATGTAATTATGATAGAATTTCTATGCCATTGCTTTCTCCAGTATTGTTTGCTGGTCCTCTTCAGTCTAAAAACATGAGCAGGTAAACAACACCAGAACTTAAAGGGAGGGATTTTAAACGTCCACATCCGCAAGTCTCACTGACAGTTGTGGGAGTATTAAGCAGCAGCTCACCAAGGACGTGTGACCCCCTCAGTTTGATAAAAAAAAAAACAAACACCAAAAAAAACCCCCACATAACAGGGCAAACTTCAAACAGATGCACAGAAAGCAATTCAGCGTTGCCATTTCAAAAGTACTCAAAAACTCTGTGCAACATTTTCAGAAAGTTACACTGAAAAGAGGCAAGTCCCAAAGTCAGAACTGCGGGATGAATTCTGTAAGCAACAGGAGAAAAAGAAGCAACTGACACTTAAAAGGGAAGAAGCAAGAACAGGAAAGTATACTGTTCTGAAAGTTCACTAAAAATAAAAGGTATAGGGTATTTGTAATCAGTCATTAGCACAATCACATTTCATTACATAATGACTCAATCCAATGCTCTAAACTTCAAGAAACGTCTTGCAGCTGTTACAATGGTGCCAGCCACAGAGAAAAGCAAGAAGAAAAAAATAGAATAGAAAACAGGATCCTAACATGGTGTATATGCATCATAAGAAAACAATTTATTGCCTCCCAGTATTAGAAAGTACAGTGAAAGCATTTCATTTTTCTTAATGCCAACTTTTTAGTTTATGTGTTAGATTTTTTCTTTTTGAGTCAGCAGTGCATGTCCACTGATGGCAACTCACCCTTTCTTTGGAAAAATACTCTTCCATAATGCCTAGGCAGCTGAAGAGAATGTTCATTTCCAGTTTCTTTTTCCTCTTCCTCCACTGAGTCGTATTTGCTAGACGCTGCATCAACATTGTTGGCAAAATTTGTTAGGTATAATTTCATTATTGGAAGGAAGACTACCTGTAATAATTAAAAATGTTACTGCACTTTAAAAGTATCAATTGAAAGTTCCAGAAAAAGTAATCTAAAGATGGAAAATATATTTACAGCATATTTATATCTGTGGATTCTCTTTCTGTTCATAGTTCTTGACTTCATGACAAACAGAAATAATAAATTCTGAATATAATTGTAGTCAGTTGAACTCAGTAAAAGTAAATACTAAAATACCAAAGTATTAGAAGAGACCTTTTTACAGCTGGACTCACCGAAGTTTTCGTATTGACCATTGGTAAGCCCTTCCAGAGACACCACTGTCGTTTTAGCTAGGCAGGTTTTCTTTCTAGAGGTGACCACAATTGTTGCCTACTCAACTAGGACGTTAGATCCGGGTTTCAGAATTAAAAATCCCTGTTAGACGTAGGTGGTTTTGGAAACACCTTAAAACAAACAAAAGCCAGTGGAGGGGAGGAGTTAGGGCAGACATTTGCTCAGAACTGCTAAAATACAACCTTGCAGAAAGAAAAGCACTGCTTTTTTTGAGCTTATGTCAGAAGTATTTAGAGCTGCTCTGATCTACTAGAGGGACCGTGGGTAGCACTAAACTGACTTTGCCTGCAGAACTAATAGGAAAAATAATATACAGATTAACATTTCGCGTAACAGGAATTTCATAATACACAATGTAAATGATTACAGCGTTCCCCTTCTGCTTTTTATCTCAACTGAGAAGCAACCTCCCTTGGTGCTTATGCTACCTTGCTTTGGATTTGGCACGCAGACACTCCCACGAAATAGTATTTAGATAAACCCATACAGCAAGGGAAGTCAGGCATTGACCCTTCCAGAAGAACTCTGTTCAAACTTATAGCAATTAACTTTTACGTAACTGATTTCAACCATAGATCTCTAAGCATTTCAAGGAAAGGCCAAGTATTATTACTACCGGATATCCACAGGCAGAATAGAAAATACTAATTGACGAGTTTTAAAGAACCACTTGCAAAACTCATGATTTATTAGAATTAATGACGCAGGACCTAATGGAAATGGCTACTGAAGGTTTACACCAGTTCACCACAGCAACAGGCCTAGTCTGACGGGCAGTACATTGGCACAGCCACTGCCTGCGCTGCTCTTCGGTCAGATTTCCTTCTGTTCCCCTCCCCGACCTTCCGGGCAGCTAAAACCTCCGGCGCAGGCCTCCGCTCAGGCATTGGCGCTTCCCGGCGGCGCAGGCCCAAGCACACAGCGCGCTCGCCGTTATCACTTCCACGTCAGGACGCAAGGACCGAGAGAACACAGGAGGCCCCGAGGCGTTTCCAGCAGCTTGGCTCCCCGGCACAGAGCCCCCGATACCGCGGAGTCCCACGGCACGGCGGGGAGGTCTCGGCGCCGCTGCTCTCGCGAGAGCAGCCCG